TGGGAAGATGTCAAAAATATACAGCGTGTGCACTTGTACCTGGAGATCTTAGAAAGACTACTGAGAAACATGTACAGCCACGAGGGCTTAAATCACAGGCCCTGAACTAACTCAACTCGTATCCCATTCCGAAAGCCAGAGGGAATCGTGCAGCTCACAGGATGAAAAGGAAGGGAGTTTCCTTCCTCCCCCACCTCAGCGCCAGCCATCGGTCAGAGCTGCAATGCCATTACTCAAAGGTGAGCGAGATGGATTCACCTGTTCAGATGACGATAAAGGATTGTGAAAACCTGGAGGGCTTGGGGAAGGGGACACGCTCTGCTCAAACAAAGCGTTAGTCCCGCTAGAGAAAGCTCAGATCTCTGCCAGAAGGCAAGGGTACAGAATACACGACTTTGGAAGCAAGGACCAAAACCTCTGCATCTTTAAATGGAAAAAGGCAAAGAACAAAAGACGTTTCATAAAATATGAGACACCCCCCCCCAGCTTACCTTGATGATGATTTCTGTTTTCCCATCCACATCTTCTGTCTGTTGGAATAACTGGTTCTGATATTGCTGCAAGGAAAAATACATCAGACGTCATTTCACAGACGGAGCATGATGCAAGGGTTGAAAAGAGTGCTCTGTGTGGAAGGCCCTGACACCGAGCTTGCTTCTGGCAAGCCCAAAACTGCAGTTGCAAGGGACAGAGGGGAAGCTCACTCCTCCCTTCTAAGAGAGGGATGCTGTGCCCTTACGCGGAGGCAGGTGAAGAAGCCTGTGAGAAAACAGCCGGAGGTGACAAACTGCCGGTTAAGCACAGCGTTTACTCAAGCCCCACTCTCCCCACTGCACCCAGCCGAGCACTTCTTAAAACGGGTGGCGTAATTGCCACAAGGGAACTCCACCCCATGCACATGAGAACCTAAGAAGTCAGCAAAGGAAACACAATGAAAATGCCAAGGTAATAGGGCCAAGTGCCATCTTCTTGGGCCAAATTTTGGGTCAAGTCCAGTGCTCCTGATCCACTAACAAACAGGCAAAAGAGTCTGAAGGGATGGCATAGCCCAAAAGAATGGATTAGGGGGAAAAAAAAGACAAAATTAACACACTCAGGACTTCAGAAACAGAATCGGCCATCACCATTATTCTTCCTTTTAATAAAAGCATAGAAGGGCTTTCAAACAGTTTCCGAATTAAATAAGTCCTCTGGAGGCGACTTGTAGAGCAAGCTTTGGGCATGCTGCAGATTTACTCTAAACGAGTTCAAGTCCAACCAGGTGCTGCTCCAGTGATTGCCCCGCCGTGCTCAGCAGCCAACGCTGCTGAGAGACAGGAGTCCTTCACCAAGGGAATTCAAAACTGATCCTGATTTGATTATGTGCTAGCCCCAATTTAAATTTACCGGAACAGTTAAAAAGTAAGAAAAAATGTGAACCCCCACCTTCAGGGAAGCAGGTTTAGCCAGGAGCAACTATGACCCAACATATAAGGAGATTAAAGGCTTAATTGACAAGTGTTTCTATGACCTGACATCACAGTATTTATTCTCCTGTGAAATCGTAACCTTCGAAACCTCTATATTACCGTGACACAAATTCAAATTTAAAAACTAGGGAGATGGAGGAGGCGGCAGGGAAACCTCTTGCTGTGCGCTGGAAGGGGTGTGACCAGGTTCTGCCATTGTCTGACACGTAGGCAAGACCAGGCTGATCAGCAAGACAGGACACGCGTGCAGCATCCCCGCTGCTTCCAGTACTGCACAGGCAGCGTGCATCGCCTGGATGGAAATTTCCAAATTACTAGTTTGAAAACCAAAATGGTGTCCAAGCCGTAAGCATTGATGTGGAGATGGGGAATACAGCGGCAAGCTTGGGATGTGGCCTCTGGCCTAAGAATCAATCCTGCTGTGTCTCGGGAAGAAAACGACCTTGATTCTTGAGAGAATCATTAGCGTCGGTGAGCACCGGCCGGGGAGAAGCTGGGACTCAACGCTTCGTGCCGCAGCCTCTGCACACAGGGCTGGCAGGAAACCCTGGATTCTTCAGGAAAAGTTAAAACGAGTTTTTCTGTCGTTAAGCGAAGGACAAATGACCCATGTTAAGAGTAGTGGCCTAGGAAAACTCTGTAAAGTTTCTAAACTCCTTTTTAGTGAAGAAAATGGAAATACAGATAGCAAAGCATGCAGTGAGCTGGCATTTCAACCCGGCTTGAAAACCTTAGCACGCACAATCCCAGCTAGTATCGTCCCCTCCGCAACAGCCCATGCAGAGATGGTGCCAGGGCTGAACACGCTGAATTCCAGTTCTGTGGAAGTGCCGCAGCTCCAGAATTCAAACCCTTCCCACCAGCAGACTCCAGTTCATCCTCTGCCAGCTGTGGCTAATCCTGTTCTCCAGGGAGACTGCCAACGAGACAGACATCAGGAAACGTCCAGCCACCTCTGTCCTTGCCTGAGCCACAGCAGCTCCTCCACCTCTGCTCTGCCCCTAAAACCTGCTGATGGAAACCACACGTTTAACCCCCTTCTGGCTCCCTTGTATCTGCTTGCGCAGAGAGTCCTCTGGCTCTGCACAGCCCGTGGTGTGAAGAATTCAAGCCATTCAGAAACTACGCAAAAGGAAAAGGTGTGGTAAGAGAGAGGATCAAGCCAGACACATCAGAGCTCTCAAAAAAGTGGCTCCAGAAAACCGATAACCTCCAATTCTCAGCTGTTTTCCCTGCTGCTTTAGAGTACACAAACGATTATTTGCTTACTAGAGCTACATTTCTTACATGCCCGACCCTTTTTAGGTTAATTTCATACTCTCTAGCCCCGAATTGTTTTAATCTTTCTAAAAAAGAATTCAGACAGTCCAGCTGTTAGCTGATATAATCTTCCACCTTGTTCGCAAATGGGCTGGGCTCCGAAGGCATCGCTGCATTACAAGAGGGCTGTTTCAATCTGACACTGGTCAGATTTCAACACCCATTCTATTGAATTTAGATAGAAAAACTGTTTAACACATTTCCTGTGTATCTTTATTATCTTCCAGCAATGTTTTCTGGCACAGAATTTGGTGAGTTCACGTATTCTCCCCCTCCTAAAGTTTATCTGGTACAAATGATGGCTTAATGCACACTCAAAAAAATTACACTGCCGAAGCGCACCGACCTCTGTGTACAGCGCTGCCTTTAATCCTCCCTTTGGGGCCAGTCCTGCCAGTCGGCAGATACCTCCTGTAAGAGACACTGAGCCTTTGCTGCCCCCCTCACTCTCTTCCTCCGTCCCAAAAATGCAGTAAACCCAACATCCAGATAGCAACCAAGGGATCAGATACACTCAGCCATGAGCTAATTAATAACGGCAGTGGAGAACTTCCTCTTCATGGCCGCATGAAGTTCTGACAGAGCGGTTGTGTTTAATGTATTTAATGAGTCCCACGCAAAACGCCACGATTCAGAGAAAGCTTACGAATATTTGGTATTTTCATATTTTGCAATAAGCACGAGGCACTTCATATAAACTCTGAGCTGGGGAGTTTATGGTTTGCTTTACTTTCAGAATGTCATTCCCCACGACTTCTGGGCAGCATAAATGCAACTTACATTTGGTGTCTGCCAGCGTAAAGCCGTGCACGGGCTGAGCACCAGCTCCGCGCCAGCTCCGCGCGCGCCTCTTGGTTACACACGGAAAGCCCAAGGCTTACGGCCATCCGTGTCTCTTAAACAGTCAGCTTCGTGTCTGGGACGAACTCCGTGCGGCTCTGCTTATTAATTACGGAGTTCTCATCATCAACAGGCACATGAGATACCGCAGGATTCACAACAGGAAGGGCGTTTTTAACCACTTTCTTAGACTCTAGAACGATTTTGTTTCAAAAGAAATCATTGCAAAAGAGGTATTTTCATAAATGCGGAAATTGCAGATTTGGGGTTTCCTTATTTCTAGGACTGAGAAGGTCGAGGCTTTTTTACACAGCCTTTTACCCAGAGGTCCTACCAGTTGCAAACTGGTGTGCAAGCCCCCTGCGAAGGAAGCATTACCCTTATTTTAAAGAGCAGGCTCTGAGGCTCAGAGAGGCCAAGGACTTACCTGAGAGCAGCTAAATAACTTGTGGCAAAGACAGGAACAAAACTGGGAAGAGATCCTCCCAGCAAACCACAATCCTTAAACAAATGTACAGAAAATAAAAAGGACAAAGACAGCAACGGAGTGCGTGCAAGGACTTCCAAATTGCAAAATTACGTGCAAGAAAAACTCTGCTGGTGAAGCCTTTAGCTCCGGCACTTGGAATCTGACCGACAGTTTCTTCAGAACAGCTCAGGACGTCACCAGACGCTGACACAGGGCGTTACACGGCTGTAATCGTACCGTAAGGAGGCCGAGTGACAAACCCCTCATGTCAGACATGGGAGAAGAGCAGAAGGCAAGTGTATTTTCCCGTATTTTCTATAATTGCCCACAAAGACAGGTATTTACATTCCACTGACACCCAAACATTCAGCCTCCCGTTGCTTCTGAGGACGCTGTATTGAGGTATCGCCATGCGTTTGGAACTGCAAGTAGGGACCCAGCCCTCCTGCGACGTTCAGGTTAGACGTGCCATCTTAAGGAAGAAACGTGACTGTAGCCGCTTCTAATTTATGCTGCACTTAAAATTGTTTACGGTTTTCCCTCGCTACATTTAGCAGATCCCCTTCCTGCCACAGTTCCTCTCCGATGTTGCCATGTCCACCTTCCGAATGATATAAACAAGGGGATTAATGTATTCCTAGGATTCCTTTGAATAGTCCTGGATAGTATCATTAGCAAGCGTGACCAGAATGAAACAGTGGTGTCTGCTCTTTGACTTCGCAGGTAAGAACATAAGTATTCAGGCAGCACAAACGCTTTCCCTTCTCAAAGATAACTCGGAGCAAAAGCCTGCCTTTCACACTTCAGAGCTCTGCAAGCCCCACAAGCCCTTCCCACTGCTCAGCACAGGCTACAACTTCTGGTATTTAAAGCCAAGTCAACCAAACTGGTGCTATATGGAAGCAGACTGGACCACTTGTGATATTTAATGAACTCCAAACCTCATTAAATAGTAAGCGAAACACAATATAGTAAATGAGTTGCAATATACAACAAAGCATATAAGCTGTGATTAAAAACTCTTAACGCTTAATTTATTCCTCTCTAGGAAGACTGAAACAAAACTAGCACACAAGTTTTCGTACGTGTTTGCTCTTTTCACCGCTTCTTCTCTACTCTGCTTAAACTTGGGGCCCCTTCAGAATTGCTCTGAAGGGCAGCGCTGTCTTGCTCTTCCGTCAGAAGGCAGAGGCCATCGGATGACAGAGGGAAATGGTCAGGGATACGGACAGTCACAAGATCAAAAGTGCTTGAACTCAACATCCTCAAGAGCCGGTACACTGCACGGAGGGGGAATAGCTCTGCGCCGCGTTATTTACAGTCACGGCAATGAAGTTTGTGTATCCAGTTGGGAACCAGCCTGCTCCTAACAGATTTCTTTCATCCTGCTACCTATGAAGTCACTCTTCCCGGAAGAGCTGAGTCTACAGCTCTATTACAATTTAATCTGTTGTACCTTTGCTCTGCAGCTCTGATAAAATGTCACAATCTTTTCACTTCTAAATACCTAGGAACACTCTGCTGCACAGAAACCCTGCAAACTGGTGGCTCTCCTACAGAGAAGCACCCACACTGCTGCATTCACCGCCTCCACTCATGCAAACAGAGCAGGTGGTGAGAAGATTCCCCGTTTGTTAGCCCTTGGAAGTTCTGTCAGTGTAACAAACACAAAGCGATGATAAAGCACCTACTGCCTTTGTATTAAATCGGTCCAACAAAACCCAACAACCACCCAGGTAGGAAGACACCTCTATCCCCCTCTCATGTACCTTAACTGTCAAAAAAAGCAGTTTGACCACACACATACTCAGGGTGGGAAAGAGCCTTGCGTGACAAAGCCGAGAAACATTCATGAAATCAGAAAAGCACCTCTGACCAACACAAGAGCAGACAGCCAATTATTTGACATTTACTGTCATTACTTCCAATGCCAGCCCTCTACCCCGAAACCCAGAGGTTTTTTCCAAATCCACTAGAAGGAATTCAGAAATAGCTACTTGCAGTGTCATCCAGCTGGCTCCAGAAGCTAGCACGCAGCCGCAAGGCAAGCTTGAGAATTGGTATTGGGATATTAAAAAGATCCCACCATGAGCAAGTGTTTTTATCAAAACACGAAACTGTTGAGGTACCCCCTACACAGTAAGAATGGTGAGACACACAAGTTGTATAGCGGGGCATTCAGTAGTTACTGGGAAAGGGGCTTCCTCGGAAACAAACATGTGCTTGTCCTTGCCTCGTAAAGTCGGCACTTCACTCAATACACGGGAGTGATTTTAACTCCCGTTCCTGGGGGAAGAAGAAAGCAGAAGTACACTGATGCGAGTTGGATTTGGATCAGGGGGTGCAGGGAATGGGCTCTGAACAAGCATTCCAGAAACCACTGTCAGGATAAACAGAAGGGAAAACAGCACATAAACTGGAAAAAGAGCAGAGAGCGAAGTTAAACAAAGTCAGATGTTCATCTCTGAACTGTGTCAAAGCTTCTAATTTTTCAGTATCCCGCGCTCTACATGGCTTTTTAGCAGCAGACGGCCCAAACCTGGACAGCAGCACAAACACCCATTCTGCCCAGGCGGAAGGCAGGGAAGAATTAGACTCTCAACGTATCACACACCTGCACATCAAGGATGCAGCGTACAGGAGAGTTTAGCAGCGACAACGTGGCAAAGAATATCAAAGACGCTGCAAGGACTGTCATAGGGGTTCTCAGTTCTCAGCAAAGTCTTCCCACACACATTTCTTCAAGGTCTCTTGCTGCACTCTCGTGCCTATGAATTCAGTGGAAAGCTGACGTTAGAAATAACGCCGATGGCAACAGCAGGCAGGGTGGTGTACAGGAAGGGAGGTCATCGGCTACTGACAACGACACCAGATTCACAGTCCGTTGCCCCCCACCTCTCTCCCTCGAGTCCACACCAGCAGCTGTGGATCTGGGGGAGAAGGGGAACGCATTCAGCAGTGCACAGAGCCAGATTCAGGGTGCATGCATGAGCTGGTGTTAAGAAGAATCCAGGGTCCCTACCGTGCATCAATTAAAGAGAAGAAAAGCAGGGAGAACAGGGCAGTCCTTGTAGCTAATCCCTCACGGAGGAGAGAAGGGCCACTGGGTAGCAGCCAATACTCCTGTAATGCCAGCCGGCCTTCCCACAGGACTCATGCGAGATCAGCTTTGGTTGCACAACGCTCAGCAAGACACCTCCAAATTTTACCGCGTATCTTCCCCACAAACTCTACAGCTTGGTGTTCTTTTAATCCCTCTGCCTCTTCGGGCCATCGAAAGCCTCTCTGATAGCCCCGCTCACTGACATAAAGAAAGCGGCCACCACATGGCTGAACACTCACCATCTCTCCTATGCCAGGATTCAGTGCCCACGTCTCATAAATGTAAGGATGGCTGATGGGACAGCTCAGGACTCGTAACACCAAACAGCTCATGTTACCAGCCTGCTACCCACAGCTCTTGGAATCCCAGAGCACTCTATTCCCTTCCCCATGATACGAGTCACTCAGAAAGATTTATCTTGGTAATACTGCTCTCAAGACACTGAGAAACAATTTCTAAGGGCTACCGCTGCTGCAGCCAGTGCCAACCAGGGAGGCTCTACTCTGTTCATCACTCAGCCAACAAGACATCCTCGGCTGAGTCTTCTCACCCCCTCCGGAATAATTACCTCTTTCCTCTCCACATCAGCTTGGATTTTTGCTTGCGTGACAGCAGCCTCGCGGAAGGAGGAGCTGGCCTGTTTGGCCTGTTCAATGAGAGTCTTCAGCTGCTGGGCGGTGTTGAGCAATGAATTGACCATCTCTTCCAAGTACAGCCAGCTCCGCTGCTCCGTCACTTCCAGACCATTCACCACCGAAGGGGATATGGCTTTGGTGGGGGTCGTGGGGGGCACCGCCAGGGCAGGGAGCGAGGTTAACACTGAGTATAAAGAAAATACAGAGAATTAGGCCATTGCATTTCCATAAAGGAGGGGGTGGGGGTGTTCTTTGTTGTGTTGTTTTGTTGCTTTTTTTAAAAATATGGTCTGCAAAAAATTCCAATCTGGCTACATTTTTGCTAAACAGTCCTACCTCCTGTGACCCAGAGCGCACAGAACCCGTCTGTGCAGAACAAGCCCTCAGGGCACTCTCAAACCCCGAGGACAGCAGAATGGGTACTCCCAGTCCTACTGTGGGCTCTGACACCTTCAGCACTGCTGCAGAAGCACAATCAAGCAGGGACAGCAGCATTCCCAGGGCCTCCTCCGCCACCACCATCACCATGTTCCACCTAATGTTTCCCTTAACTATCACTAAGTAAGGTTGTAGTAAGCCATTCAGTGACCCAAAATGTCTCGAGTTTTCTGAAATAGCCTGATGTCACCACATAGATGTCAATTTTCAGGTTGCAACACTACAAAAACCAGGCACGGATCCACACCACGCTCCCCTACACTTCCTGAATTCCGATCTTAACCATAACCCTGGCCCAAGACTGGAATAAAACCAAGACAGTTATCATCACCTCCAAATCACATGTGTTACAAACATGCACTTTCCAAAAACCACCAGTTGGGAAGCCCTTTGGAAAAAAACCAAAACCCCACAACACTTGTAATTTCTTTGGATCCCTTCATCCTGCATCCTGCCCGCAAAACAAACTATGGGCATAAAAATGCACACACTGCACTGACCCACCAAAAGTTTTAATACAAGGTATTCACAGCTGTATGTACCTGTTTCCAGTATCCTGGGTATTCTGAACAGCCACGCTCATTGCAGCTCTGAAACCTCTCCTAATCCCAAAGGTGAGAGTGAATGCATGCAGTCCAGATGGAAGTTTTAGCTCAGACACTAACACCTCCTGGCATTTGCTTTACATTGACTGTGTTGGACAGTTTTCAAGAAGGAAATTGCTTGTCTATGGCCCTTCCCTCCAGAATTCTAACTGCGACTCTCCACTCCTGTATAAAGTAGAATGCCACAGCTATGAAACTAAACACACAGAGGCCCAGCAATATTTCTGAACGTACTCCAAGGGACATTAACAGAAGAAAAAAAAAACCCAAACAAATCAAACAATTATTGAGGTGTTGCAGCCTTTTATTTTTTCATATCCTAACCATAATCTCAACAGTAACTGTGGTTTGTAGGAAGCCACCAGAACGAAGCCGAACTCCTATGCTGGTGACTTAACCACACTTCACCTCCAACCCCCTCAGTTATCAGGGCTCCACAGTCCTCCCTTTCCCAAAGCCTGGGTGAGAAAATTCAAGTCTTAGAAAACCAACAATGTCTCAGCTTTACCTTTGCAAACGTTTCAAAAAGCCAGCAGTTACGGTGTCACTACAACATCTCCTTTTCATAACACTAGGCTTTTCTGTACACGGGGAGACCACAGTGTGAGGAAATTAAATCTAGATCCAGGAACCCCACAATACACAGCGTGAGTGCACCTCCGGAAACATTTCCAGGAACAAATGTTATCTGTCTTTACTGGCCTTACTTTTCCAAAATTGAACTCTAACTCTTGTAATAAATACTCACCATCTGCCATAAAATTAAGTCCAAGACATCCACATCTGCCAACAGCTGACCTCTAAATTCCTCACTACATTGGTTACTAGAAAAAAAGAGGGCACCACCAACTTTGGGGCTGTGCAGTCTTATTACCCCAAAATCTACTAATAGTCTATTTCAAGATTTTTCCTCACGTCTTTAGGTAAGCGTTTCAGAACCAGTCAGCACACAGAAAAAGCAGGAAGTACTGGAAGCTGGGAAACCACACTCCTTCCTGGAAAGTTCTGCATTGTCAAGGGAAGAGCTGTTAGTATTCCAGGCACCAAAAGCCAATTAAGCTTCCTAGATTTTTAAATAGTGAGTGACACGTTCCTATAAAACATGCAGGACCTTTCCAACTGATGGATGCTGTGGCCCTCAGAGAAACGCTGAGCACAGCCAGGAATACAACTTCAGAAGCGCTGAGCCATTTAAATCCTGTTTGTGTCCCACCAGTGGCTGCTCTGCTTTTAGAAGCATTACTCTTAACTCCTCTAGGGCCCCCTCCGCCAGGCAGCTTGCCTCCCAGCTCCAGCACTGCTGATGCTACCGAAGATAACGTGGGGCAAAGTCCTTGGGCATCGCAGCATTACAAGGGAGTGCCCTGCACGGGGTACTGGTTTCATTAAAATGGGCCATTACTGGAGCCAGACTCTTTGCCTTGAAGCCAGAGTTAAACATTTACTAAGTGAGAAGTTCTTGAACAAAACATAGAGGCTGAAGTGTCTGCAAAGCACTTCATTCTCATTTACTTTATTATCCGTCTCCCATGGTAATCCATTTTGGATGTCATTACAGGTATTGGCACGCCGGTCTGCCTAAGGTGGCTCCGTAAAAAGGCAGAAACAAGCCTCAAACCTCTCTCACTGAAGGGCAGGGACACAGGATAGCAAACTGCCCAACCTAGTTAAAAACACAGAACAGCAGATCCCCCCATTCAGGAAAAAAAAAAATCTTCTTGACTACACTTCAAATGGTCCTTAAAATTCAACTGTAAATACTGTCCTAAAAATTCCAGCTGTGCAAATACTGTCCTGAACAGCAACAGGCCAACGCACCTTCCCGCCCTGGGCTGCAATTCCTGCAGTTCCGTGCACAGCAAAGCTCTCCTTAGTAAAGCATCTCAGACAAACAAGACCTCTCGCAAAGACTGCACTGCACACCGAGTATCTTCCAGGACAGCAATTAATTTAAATGTATCTACACTTTAACCCTTTTCAAGTCCTAGCTGGTAGTTTTTCACGCAAGCAGCATAAGCTGCAAGAATTCAGCACAGATTTGGCGTGAGAGAACAAGTCTCAAAACCCACGCACGGTCCTGCAGGTCACTGTGCGTTCGATGTGCGACCTTTCCTGAGCCACAGCATTGCAAGTTCACCATGCAGGTAAATGGGCATTTTACACTTAACAGCCCTTAATTAAAATAGTAATTTCAATCAATTTGCACATGACCAGCGCAAAACTATTTGCACTTGGATATGAGCAAGAGAGAAACCCGTCTTTTATCAGTAGCTGTTTGCAGAAGAGCCTTTCCCACTGCCACATTTCCAGCACAATATTTATCTCAGCATGGCATTTGATGACTTATCTAGCTGGAATGACTTCCGATTCCTCATTTTGGCATAGGTATATCAGTCAAGAGAAAGTATTCACTGGTGGAAAAAAAAAAAATCAATGTTTAATTAGTAATACCGAGATCTGACTAAGACTTAAAACCAATAAGATTTCATGC